GGTCTCGAACTCCTGAGCTCAAACAATCCGCCCGCCTCGGCCTCCCAGAGAGCTAGGATTACAGGCGTGAGCCACCGCGCCCGGCCAATCTCTTGGTTTTTAACAGAAGAAACTAAGCCCAGAGTCACTTATGTGGTTAGCAACAGAAGTAGGACAAGTAGAACACAAGTTACTAGGAGAGGGTTCTTTCCACTAGAACACAAAGTTAAACTTGCCCCAGCTGGAAGGTTTGGGCCACTCTGCTTGCCTTCTTTCTTCGATTATAAAATGAATAGTTTTTGGGTCTACATCTTGGTCACCTAAATACATCCTTGAACTGGAAACTTAAGGATAGGAGGAAAAATAATCCTCTTCCTCCTATGTCTCTTTTCAGAGATTATGGGCATGAGGAAAATGCCAAACTAGATGCTAAGTCTCTTTAAGGTAGAAACAGGGCTCCTTGGCCCAAGGACTACCCCAGCATATGTACTTCATCAGAGCCTACAAGGTGGATTCTACCCCAGGGACCGGGTCATTCATATCAGCACTACCCTTTCTTAGATGCTTTTGTCTGATAAACCTTGAATCTCTCTCTGTTTCCAGAACAGAGTCCATAACTTTTCTAAGAAGAGGAAGCAAATCAATCAGCCTGGAATTCAAAGCCTTCTCCAGAGAATCAAGAGACCTATAAAGAAAGGGAGTCCCTCTGCCTGTAGCATTGTCCACATTCACAGGGTTCCACTCTTATTTGTTCCTACAGAGTAAAATGACGCTAGAATCACCTGCCCAATAATAACTTCTCTTTCCTTGGTTATTTTGTGTGGGGGTGGGGGGAGAGGGGAGAAGGGGAGGGAGAGAGAGAGATGGGCAATTTGGAGAAAATAATTCCTTTATGGATCCTGGGGTGTGTGTGGGGGGGGCTGGGTAGGATAAAAGATGGGATAAGTTTCTCCCATGCTGGGAAGTACAAGCTGCAGATTTCAAACTAAGAGGAAATAAAGAAGAAACTTTCAGTTGCATTTTCACTGGGAAAAAGGGCTTATTTCTGAGCCAAGTCCTGAAATATGCCTTACCCTTAACCTACTGCGAGGAAGAGGATTGCTCAGATGCTACAGCTGAACTAATTAACTGTACTCAGTGGGCAAAAAAGATGTTATATTTTGTGTTTGAGACGTTAACATCCATTGCCTAGGACAAGATATAATTCTGAAGCTGCCAAAATGAGGGCAGCTTCCACCACCCTGAGACCACCTCAGAAGCTCCAGTGAAATCTCTCCTGCTTCCCAATGGTAAGGCTATTTTCTTCTTTTAAGACTTTATTTTTATCTCAGGAGCCACTCATCTGACTGTTCTCATGACCCAAGGGACTGAATAGATTCTCTGGCTTTAGGCTGTTAGTTGGGAAGGTTAAAGTCCTCCTGTAAACCACAAAGCAAGATTTACTGACTGGCAGGCCTATGAGGAGGTGAGGATTACCAGCTGTGCATTTCATACAACCCTACCAAACAAGGCACTATGCTTTCAAAGATTGTCTGATTTGGCCTTTTATCTGGGCTTGTCTTCAGAATCTGAGTTATCTTAAGTGGAAATATTCTAGGTAGTCTGACAACCGTTTTTCATGCTTCCTAAGAATATGAACATATATGTACCTTCACCCAGGCAAAGCGAGCAAGTATCAGTAAGGGAAGACAGTCAGGCCTCAATGGCCATCTGGTTGGCCATGATGATGAAAGACCTAGAGCTAACATGTGAGCATGTCAGGAACATACCATGCCCACTATTGATGCTTTGAGGACTCAGGATGGGTAAACAGGCACAGCAGGAGCTACCACAGTAGACAGTTTTGCTTATGAGAGGAAGGAGGAAATGGGGTGAAAAAAGGTACGCAAAAAAATTTTCCTGGAAGCAGAGTTAGCAAATTCTTGACCTTGGAGGGGGAATGGGGTACCTTATTTCATAAACATCTCATATCTAAAAGTCTACATTCCATTAAACATTCCACTGTCCCCAGACAGGACCAGCACACTTAAAAAAAAAAAGCATAGCAATCAAATGAAAGTTCAAAAAGTGAGGATCCAAAACTCTGTAGCAGACAAGGGGTAAGGAAATAACTGGGGATGGGTCTTTGTGAAGAGGTACATGGAGGACTGTTTAAATATTCAGGAAGCAGGCAGCCTGCTCCCCAAGTTTGTAGCTCCCATCCGGATGCCTGCCTAGGGTTGTCTCTTGCATTTCTTTTTTAGGGCTCGTATGCAATGAATCTTCCTTACCAACCTTGCTCCCCCAAGTTCCCTACATCTCCCACCCTACACAGTAACCCAGATAGCACTTCTCACCCCATCCTAAGTTTCTTCCACTTTGCTTCCCAGATCTTCTCACCTAGGCCTACTTTTTTCTCTCAAGCCTTTTCGATCCCACTTCCGGGTCCCTCACTTTTTTTGTTCAGGTACCCTCTCTACTGCTCCTGTTCCTCTGTTCTACCCTAGCCATATCCCGACGGAGGAGCCTCGCGCATGCGAGCTCCTGCCTGTCTTCAGCCTTCTGCCTTGATCCGTCTCCCGCCTTTTTAGGGCCCCCAGATCCCTGTTACCTCCTCAATATTGGGGCATCAGGCCAAACTACCCCGGGCCAGCTTCCGCCTCTTGGGCCCCAGCCCACCCCTCGCCCCTCTCCGAGCCAGCTCCCGCCTCACTTCACGCCCCAGCCCCTCAGGCCCCGCCCCCGCCGTCTATGCCCCGCCCCCGCTTTGCTCAAGCCCCGCCCCTCACTCACCTGAGGCGTCTCCGCGCGCGCGCAGGCTGTGAGGGGTAGGGGAGAGGGGATGGTGATCGGGGAGAGGGAGGCGGATTGGCGGGGGTCCCCCACTCTGGCCCGGGTGGCCCAGTGCGGGGGGAGTGGGGTCACTGAGGCGGCGGCAGCCAGGCTGCAGCCAGGACCCGGGCGCTCATCAGCGGCGGCGGCTCCATCTCCATCAGCGGCTTCACCTGAGGAGGGACCTGCCCCCCCCCACGTTCCCCCCCATCGCAGCCGTCCCCCCCTCCCCCTAACAACTTCCGGTCCCACTACCAGGCGACAGGCGGCGTGGCCGAACACCGAGCGCCCCCATGCCGGGGAGACTGCTGGGGAAAAAAGGGAGAGGAAGCTAGGGGAAAGTAGCCGAGCGCCGAAAGATTCAAGTCCAAAGGCGCTGTCGGTTGCAAAGGGTAACTCAGACTACCCCTTCATCTGCATCTAATTTGCAAACTAGGTACACATTGGACGCCCCACGTGCCCTGGCACGTCTGCTCCTAGTGCCAAGTTTTGTCCCTGTACCACCTAAGACAATATTGATTTTAACCTCTTAGCATTCTTTGTCTTTCCTGCCAAATACATAGGAATTGTGGGGGAGGATTTGAGTATACCAAATTTTTTATTATCTCCTCTTTGGGGGTATCTTGAGGTCAATCACCTAAGCATTGCTGCATATGCTAACAAACCTCAGAGAAGGAAGCTCCATTTCTTTACTTCCCAGAGCCTGCTTCCGTTCTCTCCTCCCCCCACCTTTTGTTTTGGGCTAGACTCACTGCTCATCCCACTACCAACGCAGCCTCCCTCCTGCAATATGTTCATTCCCCAGGCACAAGAGGCCCCAGAGTCATAATCTTAAAGAGACACTTTATTGATGTATTTAGAAAATTAGAACTATAAAGGGAAAGGATTGCTTTCCTTGCTCTCCTCACAACTCTCTGGCAATCAGAGAAGCAGTAGAAAGTAGCATTAATACTTTTCTTACACATGCCACACACATTCTCTGAAGAATCCAAGAAGCAAAGCAAAACAAGGCCTTGATGGTGACAGTGGAGGTGGGGTGGGCAGAGAAAATAGTGCTTGTCTCCAAAATTACTTTTCTCACGTCTAGCCCCCTGTTCCAACAACTGCCACCTGCTGGCACAGGGTCAGAGGCCAGGAGGGGTATGTAACATAGCATACAAGGAGGGAGGTTTTCTGGGTGGAAAGGTGCAATGTGTGTGTAATGTGTGTACCTGGGTATGGCTTAGGAAGGCCATACCTAAGAAGTAGAGAGGCGGGAAAGGTTTTTCTGAGGCAGCGAGGCCAAAGGGTGGGGAAAAGGGCTGAGATGTTTCTGGGGTGTAGATGGCTCTACTCCATACTCTCATGAGGCCACATGGACATGGACACGATGCCAGGCATTGCTGAGCACACCTCGCAGGTTCCAGATTGGGGCCACGGTGTCTGGCTGGACATTATAACTGTTATCAACAGCCTTACAAACAATGTTCAATTCTTTCTGCCCAGCTGGCACAACAGCTTGCAGCTGCCATAGACGCCAGGCCCATGCCTTCCTGGGGCACTGTTCCTCTCCATCCAGCTCAGCTGCCTGCCAGGTTAGGCCCCCGTCCAGAGACACATCCACCCGGATCACAGCTCTGCCACCACCACTCCATGCATAGCCCTTGATGGTCACCTCCCCTGACTCTACAGTCTCCCCGTCCTGGGGCTCTGTGATGGCCGACTGAACAGGAAGTTCCTGAATAGATGGAGCTGAGTCAAAATCTACTGTGTCCCAGTCCACAGATGGAGAGAAGCCTTTGTAATCTCGCCGCTGCCAGTGGCTGTAACTTTCCTCTGGTTCCACACTCACTCTGCCCAGCCATTTGACATGGCGGGCACCCACCACACCAGGAACCACCACCCGCACAGGGAAGCCATGGTCACGAGGCAGGGGCTGCCCATTCATCTCATATGCCAGCAGGACCTCAGCTTCAGGGTCCATTGCCCGAGCCAGAGGGATAGATGCTCCGTAGGTAGTCCCAGTGGGGTCTGAGTCCAGTCCCTCAAAGCAGACGTGGGCCTCGGTTTCACACAGTTTGTGACCAGCCTGGGCTAACACATCACAGAGCCGTGCCCCAGCCCAGCGTGCAGTGCTGATGGCCCCTGTCCTCCACTCCAGACCTTTTACTTGTTTGACCTGAGTCATCTCAGAGCGCCGGTTACCAGCACACTGCAGAGTGACTGTGATCTCATGTTTGGGAAACTTGTACAAGTCATCCAGGGACAGAGATAATGACTTACTCCCAGGACCCCCTACTACGTGCAAACGATAGGTGTCTGGGTCCAGGTTAGGTACAGGCAGATGGTTCCGGGTAAAGAAGATAGGATTGGGTGTGATGTAGTTTTCTGTCAGCAGCTCAGGGGGGGGCTCTGCATTAAAGGGGCGTTGGCTGTTGACCTTCAGGGCGGGGTGACGTATAGGATCATCAACATAAGGGTCAGAGGTCTCCAAGGTGGAGGGTACCTTTTCTTCAGGGTTCAGCTCCCCAATCTTGTACTGAGCCAGTAACTCACGCACATGAGACTGGTTGTGAACAGCATACAGGGCCCAGAAGGGCTCTAGGGGACCCCCAGCTGCTAGCATCAGCTTTGATGGACCTCCTGGGTGTAAGTCCACAAATTCTGTGACATCAAAGACCTCATAGCCCAGAGTCACCCATATCCCAGTCTCAGGGCTTGTGTGGGAACTCACTTCCTCTTTGGTGTATATTCGTGGTGACTCCTGAGCAGCCTGCAGGAAGGGGTGGGGTGAGGCAAAATGAAACAGAATATTAAGTAATTGGTTGGGCATGGTGGCTCACACCTGTAATCCCAGCACTTTGGGAGTCTGAGGCAGGAGGATCGCTTGAGGCCAGGAATTAGAGATCAGCCTGGGCAACATAGTGAGACCCCATCTCTACAAAACAGAAAAATTAGCCAGGTGTGGTGGCAAACACCTCTAGTCCCAGCTACTTAAGAGGCTAAGGCAGGCAGATAGCTTGAGCCAAGGAGTTTGAGGTTGCAGTGAGCTATGATGATGCCACTGCACTCTAGCCAGTGACATCTGGGTGACAGAGCAAGACTCTGACAAAAAAAAAAAAAAAAAAGAAATCACTCTAGCTCACCCTGACCCAACCCACAGTCTAGGCCACTGGGAACTGAAGGCGGCAGATTCCATCTCCACTCTACATGAAGACAGTGTCACCATGAGCTCTGTGGTAACAGCAAGAACATGGGTCACAGCCTGGGTTGCCTATGGAGCTTATTAGGGCTCCTTTGTTCTCACAATGAAACCCTTTCCCTACTTACCCTACACCGATGGTCATGATAGGCCAACATTGCACCGAGACCTAGTAGGGTCCCCACGACTCTCCATCCCCTAGTGCCAGAGTTATCACCAGAGAAGGTGAGGCTGGGGTGCTGGGGCTGGAATGAATCATTTGTAGAGCAGGCCCGAATGCAGAGCCTTGAGGGGGTTGACCTGAGTCTGGAAGAGAGAGAGGTCTTCTTAGTAGCACATAGGGTTATATGAAAGGGCCAGTGAACACCTGAGGTCTACCTCTCCCTGGTTGGCCATTGTTTCCTTCCTGGAACTTAGTTTCTCCAGGGATAGGCGGGACAATTGGGATCTGGCTTTCCCTTTTCTACCTGGCCATTCCCTCAACTACTTCCCTTTTGTCTGGTATCATAAAGATAAGGTATCATAAAGAAAAGTTATCATAAAGATACTGAGGGTAGGAGATAAGAGCTAGCAGGCAAGTCCTGGGATGGGAGGGCCTACCTGCAGGCCTGTTGGAGCCCGGAGACCATAGCTCTGTGCAGCAGCAGCATTGTGGCAGACCTGTAGGAGGAAGATTCTGGGATCAAGATAGGAGGATCCTTAGGAGGGGATATTAGGGAAGCCAAAGGGAATGGGTGGGAGAAGACACAGAGGTCAGCAAGGAGCTTTCTGGGCAAATGGGGAGACCTGAGAGTGGGGGTCCAAATGGGCCCTTAGAGAAAACTTAGAGTACTTCAGAGCCAAAGACTGTGCTGACAGGATGGTGGGAGATGGGGAGCAGGCCAGGTGCTTCTAGAATCACCTATCTTCCATTCTCCACTCTCTACTTTGTCCACCATAGAGAACAATGCATGGGGCCAAGAGAATAAAGGGAAGAAGCCAAATTTCTACTGTCCAGTTTGCCAGTTTATTATTTCTGAAGTTAGCAGAGGACAACTGAGCATTAGACTGACTTAACCAGGGACAAAAAAGTGAGAAGAACAGCCTAACTGAGTGAAGAAGCCAGATGCTGGGGGCAAACTACCTTGGGTTTGTGAAACCGGATCCTGACATTTATTAAGCAGCCCTATTCCCTGGGCAACATACCAAGTGTCTCTGAACTTGCATCCTCATCTCTGAAATGAGATCCAGCTAACACAGCTGATATGAAGAGTAAGCAAGTACAGTAGTCCCCCCTTATCTGCTGGGGATAAGTTCCAAGACTCCCAGTGGGTAACCAGTGGATAGTGGTACCAAATTCTCTATATATTATGTTTTCCCATATAAATACCTGTGATAAAGTTTAATTCATAAATTGTGTGCAGTAAGATTAACAATAACTAAATAATAAAATAGACCAAGTATAACATTATACTGTCATAAAAGTTATGCAAATGTGGTCTCTCTTTCAAAATATCTTATTGTACTGTATTCACCTATTTTCCAAGTGGTTGACCATGGGTAACTGAAACTGAGGAAAGTGAAACCTCAGTAAGGGGGTACTACTCTAATAACACTGTCTTGAAGGTCTTTTGGTCCCCTCTTCTCCCTCCACCCACCCTAAAAAAAAAAATTGAACCCAGCTGGGAACTGGACCCCAACGAGGGGCCCCCATCAGAATCTTGTCTATGCCACTGTAGTGAGCTGAAGCAATTGAGGAGTTAATGGCCAGGGTGTCTGGGGATGGGCAGGAGAAGGAAGATAATTTTTCTGCTCTCTGTTCCGCGAGTTTCTTCTGCACAGCAATGGGCTGAGCACTGACCGAGGAGGGGCAAAGTGGCCAAAGTGAGGATAGGTAAGAAGTGCCCCAACTGCTAATGAGATGCTGGAGAGCAACTGTGTGGGAGTGGGTGGGTCATGGATAGTGAAGCAGAGAACCCACCAGGGAGATGGAATTAGGAGCATTCTTCACTTTACCCCTGAGCTTTAGGACCCTCCCGCTCCCTGCCACCTACCTCAATCCCAGTAGCCTCCCTGAAGTAGACTGGAGCAGTGCAGGTAGGGCTGACTCGCCGGTGAGCTCGGTCAGACCAGAATCCCAGGTTTGGGAGGGGCGACCTTTTGCTGCAATACAGAAATGCCACCGTTGGCGCAGGTGGTGGTCCCTGACTCCCCAGGGGCACTTTGGATAGGAGGATATGTCCGGCATCCAGGCACAAGCAGCAGGCCCTATGCCACTGCCCCAGCAGCTAGCACGAGATGGTTTTGTAGCAACACTCCAGGACCCTAAGAGCACCCAGGCAGCAGGAGCGGAGGCAGGTACTGGTAGTTTTGTTGTCCTTGAGATTCGGAGCATTGCTGAGTGCCAAAGCCCTCTCCGCCGCCCCGCCGGACTGTCTTTTTTTTTTTTTTAAGACAGTCTCGGTCTGTCGTCCTGGCTAGCAGACCTTCCTCCTCCTCTTCTCTCTCCCACCCTCAGCCCGCTTACCGGTTCAGCGTCCTCACTGTTTGGTGTCCTCACTAACGCAGTTTCATCCGCTACGCCAGTGCTCGCAAAGGGGCGGGGCCCGCGCCGAGATGTCTGGCCGGAGGAAGGAACACTCACGCCCCTCAGTTAGTCCCCCATCCATTGGCGGGCCGCGGGCCGCCGCCCAGCTGCTGTGCCCACCCCCTGGAACGAGGCAGGCGGGGCGCCACCAGGGCTTTGAGCTGAGACTGGCTCTTTTGGCTGTCACTCTCGATAGGCAGCCGTTGAGTTGATTATAGCTCCGGTGCTCAAGGAATGGGATGCCCACTGATGTTCGGAACTCGGGCAGTGGAAGGTGAGGACTCCAAAGCTTGCGCTGAGAGTGGGGAGACTTTGAGACGCCCCCGCCCCGCCCCGCCCCTACGGCCGGCGGACAGGAGGCTGAGAGGCAGGAGATGCGTTCCCTTGCGGAGGCCTAGGGATACAGCCGAGTTTCTCCTGGTGGGGGTGAGGTCCGCTTTTACCCAGTTTTTGACAAGTGTCTGTGTTGCAACTACAATAGCCCTGTTTGTCTTTTGGGAAAAGCAAGGTCAATCGCTTAAGTCTCATAACCAGGAATGAGAGCAGAAATGAAGCCTAACATAGTGGTTCCAAGAATTCGAGATTCCTTGAATTAGTCCAATCTCTCCCCAAGTTATGGAACCAACAATAAATAGCATCTTTTACTTTGCGTAGTCATTAAAAACAGTCGCCCTTTACCAAGAGCAATGATAGTTTAACACCCCAAAGTATGAAGGTTATAATCTCTTATCTCCAAGAAAGAGACACCAATAGAATAAATTTTCTATTACCCTTTTGTCATTTGGCATGGGACTAAAAATTTATCAAACCTAGGGTCTGATCATGGGCAAACGTCACCATACACTGCCCTCTAGAGACCGGACGGTTGAGTTACATTGTTTTTTGCTTTTTTTTTAAGACAGTCTCGGTCTGTCGTCCTGGCTAGTGCAGTGGGGTCATCATAGCTCATTGTAACCTAAAATTCCTGGGTTCAAGTGACCCTCCTGCCTCAGCTTCCGGAATGGCTGGGGACTACGGGCAGGCCACCACGCCAGGCTAATCTTTTTCTATTTTTAGTAGAGACGGAGTCTTGCTCTTGCTCAGGCTGGTCTTCAACTCCTGACCTCAAGGGTTCCTCTCTGCCTCAAATTCCCAGAGTGCTAGGATTACAGGCGTGAGCCACCAAGCCTGGCTGCTTGAGCTACAATCTTAATCAGTTTAAGTGAATGTCTTCGCCTTTCATTTTTGAAGATCATTCGCCTTTACTTTCTGCTCTCCAACTAGAGCTTTTTACCAGGAATCAAGAAACCCGGGGAGGAAAGGTATTACTAAGAGATAGAAGGAAAGGGGAACTGACAGTTAAAGGTTGATTTTGGCTCTACACTGTTTGGAAATGAAAAGGTTTCCAACCTGTGTACAATTTCATTGGAGAGGCCAGATGCCTGACCTATCTTACCAGTTATTTAAAAAAAAAAAAAAAGGGTTCAACGTTCAGCCCAGGATACAGAGAAGTCAGTAAGTCAGTTAGGGATTGTCTAAAAGCCACAGGATAAGATTCCTTCCTAATAATAGTGTTACCTACTTGTGTGCCACGCACATGCTTTACATATTTGACCTTTATGCCTCAACTTTTCTTCATTTTACTGATGAAGAAATGAGGCACAAAGCACTAAGTAACTTGATCAAGGCCAGAGCTGGGGGTAAGTTGACACAGATGGGACTGGAAGCCAGGTTTGTGTACACCAGTTCTCTTTCTTGTCTTCCCTCAGCTTCTTTGGAATTTAAAACTCCTCCTGCAACCATAGCTAATCTTTTCTATTTCTTCCCCACTTTTCCCCCTTAGACTGTGATGGATTGAGGGCTTGAAGTACAGTAGGAGTCAAGAGCAGATCCAAGGGAAATTTTCCTGTTGAGGTGGAAGTCACATGGTCAATCAAAAAAGCTAATTCAGTGATTCTATGTTAATTTTTATAGGTCACAGACCCCTTTGAGAAACTAATATAGCAATGGACCCTAGAAAAATGCACATAAATTTTTGCATATTACTTCAAAGGATTCACAAATACCACCTCCTCCCACCAATCTCATCAATGGGCCCAAAGAGCCACACCCCACACATATACATATTCTTTTAAGAGGGCCTATAAAGATAAAATAGGGTCAGATTTGGTGAGCTATATAATAGCCTTCAAATAGGGGTAACAGCCATAAAAGGGCTATTTTCCAAATTGGATTCTTTTGCTGTTCAAGAGAAGATTAAAGGGAACAATGAGGTTTCAAGATGCAGGGGAGGGTAAGTTTCTGATTCAATAAAACATTATTGGGTGCCCTTTTCCCCAAATTCCTAATATGAGACAGATAAACAGCAAAAAACAAAGCAACACTCCAATGTACTTTTTACTTTCTTTTACTTACATTAAATACATCGGTAAATCAGCAGTCGCATTCTGTTACCACGATTGTTATGTTGGGAGAGGAAGAAAGGCAAATGCTTTCTTAAAAGCAAAAAAAAAAGAAAACACAAAAACAAAACCAGAAACAAAACATGACATCCCCACCCCCCTAAAAAACTGACCAGAAGAAAAAAATGAAGAGCTGGGAAATAAAAAACGAAGATCCCCAAGCCCAACAGAGCTTAAAGGCAGAAGAGCTGGTAGGAAGTGGAGGGAAGGCAGCAGATAGGCCCAGAAGCTAAGGCCAATCCTGTTCCTATGGGGATTTCCGAAGGGAGAAGAAGCCTGGGGAAATGGTTTCCCAGCCCCAAGGCATAATATACCTTCACTCCTGCTCCATGGGGAAAGCTGCAGAGAAAGAACTTCATTTCTAAGAGATTTAGAGAGCCATCCTAGTTCTTCCACTTGTAAAAAGGAAGCACTGGGTGCTTTGGGGGGGCTAGTGGGTTCTGGGAAAGGAAGGGGAAAATGTATGTGTGTTTCAGGGCCATGGAAACTAAGGCTGCCCCTGGAAAAGGAAGGGAATTGAGGCCTAAGTGGAAGAACCTAAGCTGGGTCCTTCAGTAGCTCAGCTTTATGGATTTCTCAGCTGCTCTGGGACAGAAGGCAGTCTGTAAGCCAAAAGGGCAGAAAGGTTCCAATCCTAGGTCACTGTGACTTCTATCTTTCCCAAATTTTCCCAAAACTCTGAGCTAGAACAAGAAGGAACTTACGAGTTCTCTCTTGCCTTGATAGCTTCCCAAAGACATCCTAAAACACCTGATGAGGGATATGAAGAGAGGCTGTAGATTTAGAAAGGACCAAGGTCCTCTAATGATATCAGACAGTTGTGAAGCACCTCCAGTGCTAGTCATTCCCTGTCCACAGGAACAGGTAGTATGATATGAGGGGGCTACAAGGAGGCCTCTGTGGTACTAGCCCCTAGTGGTACATGGAATAAACCACTGGTTGCATAGGGGGATAAGGATAGAGGGACTAAACTCAAGATACTAACAAAGAAGAAAAGAAATAGGGCCTGATGGGAGGAAGGGGACAGACCAGGGGGATAGACAGTGGGAATAAGATCATACCTATTTACAGGGAAGTAGAAAAGACATGGTAATGGATATCAAATTGAATGTGAACCCTGGGGAAGAATAGAAAACTCTCTTTTGCCTGACCTCTTTACTCCCCTACCTTGGTCTATGCTATCCTGAGACCACTCCCAGTTGCTTAGTTAATTTTCCAGGAAAGGCAAACCTATACTCAGGAGTTAGGTTGGCAAGAATAGAGGGTTAAGGATCAGAGCTGGAGGAAGCTAACAGTGGAGATTGGGCTTGAGTAGCTGCCACTTATACTTTTCTCCATAGCCCCTCTGAAAACCTCATATATACCCCTCAGGTCCCGTTTAATTAAAAAGAAGGTAGGAGGGCAAGTAAATCAATCAAAACCACCATAAAACAAATATCCCAACTGAATTACCATCAATTAAAGTGCAAACTTCAGGGGGATATGGTGGCTGGGGCTGAGACCATCTAAAGGCCAGAGGGGGGAAAATGCATATGTATAAATCAGAGGATGGATATCAGAAACTGGTCCCTCCTCCAATTATATCACAGCAGAGCCAAAGACGCAGGCAACCAGTGAAGATTCTTTGGAGGACTCTGGGGTCCAATCCCCACTATAGGACAGAAGCAACCTAAGAGGCTGGGTGTGCCAACTGGGCCTTGGAAGAGTTCCAGAGCCACAGATGACACTGTACCTCCACCTCCACCTAGCTAGCTAACAACATAACACCCACCTGGTGCCTGAAAGCTTGCCTCCCCATTCTCACCTCTACCTAGAAATACCCTCCACAAGGCTGACTCATGGATACCGCAGTGTTTTCAAATATGAGAAACTCCAACCCAATAAAAACAAAAAAGAAATGTTTCCTTACTTCCTCCTGCTCTGAGCTTTATTCTCGCCCAGGGCCCTTTAATGTAACTGAACTGGAAACCTCCTTCCTTAGTTCTTGAGTTCACCACCTTCTCCATCCTGGGGAGAGGAGGAAAACAGGATCAAGAATAGGGACTGACCAAAAGCAGGAGGGGGAAGGGGCAGGAGATGAAAGTGTTTTCTGAAAAAATGAGGAGGAACACTGGGGAGAAGGAGAAAAGATAAGTAGGTCACTGTCTTGCACCTATAATACAAAGTGAAGAAAGTTTGTTTTGGGAGGTAAGTCCTGGGGGGAGTTGACCCCCAAGCCCCAGAGTAGGGGGTAGGAGGCCTGTGGCAACAGCTGCCTGGTGTTGGTTGCTGAAGCGTTAAAAAGTGCCATGACGGAGCTGTCAGGAGGGCAGCCCTTGGGAGCCAGGGCTCAGTGTGCTGTTACCGTAGGGGCTGTGTGCTGAGGGGTGGGGATGGAGGTTATTTCTTAGCTCTCGTGCTAGCTCCATACTCGTTTGCTGCTAGCCACCCCCTCAGTTGCTACAACACTGGCTCTTGTTCTGCTGGGACTGTTCATGGAGATCCACACCCCGACTTCGGCCTGCTGCACCCCCCAGATTCTGGGGTTCACTCTTTGGCAACTTCTTAGCTAGAGATAAAAAGAGAAGGGAACAAAATATGGTAGATTTCACTCAACCCCTACCCCAAAGGCTAATGGGTGGGAGAAAAGCAGAGGGAAAGGGGAAATTCAAGAGATTAAAAGAATGTTCTGAAGAGGGGAGGGTTCACTGTTTGCAAACTACATTGACCACAAGGTGGCTAAAGCTGCAGCCAAGGATGGAGGTCCCAACAGAAAGTTATTTCCATGTATCTAAAGTTTTTAAAAGAGGAGACACTCCCACCTATCCTTGATTTGGGTTAGTGATGATTTTGCCTATAGACAAGGGAAAAAGACAGGAAGCTCTCAGGCTGCTTTGACCTTACCTATTGCCAGGAAGAGATCATTCACGTTCATAGCAGTCTTGGCCGAAGTCTCCATAAACAATAAGCTGTTGTCATCTGCATATGCCTGGGCCTCCTGCAAGGGGTTGGATGTACTGGTACTCAGAATATACAAGAGAAACAAGTATTGCCTTTCCACTCTTATATAGGACCTAGAGCTAGGTTCCCACCCCTTAATTAATGCCCCTTTGAGCCGGCTGGCCCTAGACCCATAATTTAGTGACAACTCCCTCAAGATAAACCCATGTCCACTCAGCCCAACAAACAGATGTCAGGAATCTTAATTATGGGGGAGAGGGTAAGTTGGTGGGGGGCTTTTGGATTCTGACACTTGAATGGTCCCTTACCTCAAATTTAATTGCTCCCTCCTTCCTGTTTTCACACTGGTACCCCCACAGCTGGTACTTCCCTACCCCTCTGCTCTGGAATTTTCTTCTGACTCCTCTAAAATCTCCTGGCTGTCATTAGGGTCACAGCGTTGCTGTATTTAACTTGGTGTAGAACTGGGGAATGAGACAATGAATGTCCTTAGATGAGGTTTTCAAAGAGGACTGGTTTGGAAAAAAAGAGGCCCCAAGTACAGAGGGAGTGTGTTAGAGAGGGACTCTATGGGTCATCTTACTTCATACTCCACCATGCGCTTGTTGGCCAGGTCAGCTTTGTTCCCCGCCAGGGCAATAACGATGCTGGGACTTGCCTGTCGCTGTAGTTCCTTTACCCATGTCTTTGCTCGGGCAAAGGTTTCCTAGGAAAACATGAGGAAGAGAATGGGTAGTTTGTAATGACTGCCAACTACATCTACCACTTTTAAAACCTAGTCTGAAAACTTACCTCTTCTAGGCGGCCTTTCCTCACTGAAATTATCGGGTCTCCAATAATTCATTATCTCTGTCTTCTTGGCATTTGGAAGCATAATTTGTATGCTAACTTGCTATTTCCAGAACTTGTTTTCTCTTCCCCACCTAATTTAATTCCTATACATATAAGCAAAAACAGTCTTCTTAGCTCACTTACCTGATTAGTAATGTCATAAACCACGATTGCAGCTTGGGCACCCCTGTAGTACATAGGGGCTAAGCTGTGGTATCGCTCCTGCCCAGCTGTGTCCCAGATCTCAAACTTGACTGTTGTGTCATCTAGACAAACGGACTGGGTGAGAAAGGCCGCTATGGATAAGAGAATGGAAGGGAAGAAGTTGTAAGTGGGAGGATGAATGGGAACACCCCTCTCCCCTTCAAAATATCTCTACTCTCACTCTGAGACCAGTCACCACCCAGGCTACTCAGCTACAGGAAAAGGTTTAGCGTTCTCCTTACATATAAGTCCTAAAATCAGGATTAAGCCCGCCCTTGGGTAAGTCCTTCCTGCCAAAAGTTTCTCTGGCTAAGGAATGGGGCACATCATAAACTAAGAGGGATAGAGAGAAGAATTGGCACTTATACCAGAGTTATCTTTCCTCTATCCAAAATAGAGGAATAACAAATAATGACATAAATAATAAGCTTCTGATAGAAGTCACATCAAGAATTAGCTGAGCACAGTGGCAGGCACCTGTAATCCCAGCTACTTTAGAGGCTGAGGCTGGAGGATCTTGAGCCCAGGAGTTCAAGCCTAGCCCGGGTATCATAGCAAGACCTAGTCTCTATCTGCTGCAGGTCCAGGAGCACATTCCCAAACTGACGAATAAAAGGGGGAAAGAATAATATGGGAGTTCTCATAAAAGATTCTTTATTGAATTAGCACCCTATTTTGGGATAGTGGCAGAGAGAAGGTAGCAAAGGAGGGAAAGGCAAATGCCCTTTATATATTGTATAGTTCTAGCTTCTATTTTACCAGATATGTACATCAGAATCACCTAAGGAGTTTTTCCAAACACATATGCCTGTGCCACTGCCACCAACCTTACCCTACCTCCAATACTAATCAGTAGATCTACAGTGTAGCCCAAGCATACATAGGTTGAAAATGCTCCCCAGGTAATTCTTTTTTTTTTTTGAGGCAGAGTCTCACTCTGTTGCTCAGGCTAGAGTGCTGTGGCGTTAGCCTAGCTCACAGCAACCTCAAACTCCTGGGCTCAAGCGATCCTCCTGCCTCGGCCTCCCAAGTAGCTGGGACTATAGGCACACGCCACTGTGCCTGGCTAATTTTTTCTATTTTTAGTTGTTTGGCTAATTTCTTTCTATTTTTAGTAGAGACGGGGTCTTGCTCTTGCTCAGGCTGGTTTCAAACTCCTGAGCTCAAGCAATCCTCCCGCCTCGGCCTCCCAGAGTGCTAGGATTACAGGCGTGAGCCACTGCGCCCAGCCTCCCCAGGTAATTCTGAGGTATATCTTTGATCATGAATCACAGCTCCAAACCAACTTTTATCTGCTTAAGATGACAGTCAACTGACTTCATTAGGATTTAAGAAGACAGAGTAGGAGAAGGAAGATAGATAGATAAAAAAATTAGTAATTTTCTTTGTGTGCAAAGGTCAACCTCTCTTCTAGGAAGCAAGAGGATGCACATATTCCTGCTTTTTGGCATTATGGCAGTATTTTTTTTTCCTTTTTTAAAAAATCATTTCTTTTGTTTTCATACAGAGTTTCCATTCCTAGGGGAAAGAATGAGACTAAGAGGGCCAGCTCCACAAGCATGTCCTAGATCTCCTTTCAAAAGCCTCATCAGGCCTGGTGCAGATGCTTGGGCCTATAAGCCTAGTACTTCGGGAGGCCAAGGTGGGAGGACTGCTTGAGGCCAGGAGTTTGAGACCAGTCTGGGCAACATAGTGAGACCCTGTCTCTACAAAAGATTTTTTTAAAAAATTAGCTGGGTGAAGTGGCGCGCGCCTGTAGTACCAGCTACTCAGGAGGTTGAGGTGGAAGGATCGCTTGAGCCTAGGAGTTTAAGGCTTCAGTGAGCTATGATCACACCACTGCATCCCAGCCTGGGCAACAAAGCAAGACTTCGTCTCTTAAAAAAAAAAAAGAAAGAAAGAAAGAAAGAATAAAGAAAGCCTTATCAAGTATTGAAACTCTTCTTTTCCTGAGATACTCACCTCCAATGGTACTCTCCTGGTACTCATGGAACTGCCCTTTGACAAACCGTAATACCAGGCTTGACTTCCCCACTGCAGATTCTCCCAGCAGGACCAATTTGAACTGGCATATTTTGCTGGCCTGGGGCTGCCCATTGGGCCTGGCTGTGCTTCTGCTAGTCATGGCCAGATTATCAGAGTGGGAAAGGGTGGAGGGAGGGGGATACCACAAAGGGGGAAGGGGGAAGGGGAGGGGACTTCCAGGCTTCAACAGTCCTGCAAGGAAAAAAATGGGTAAAATTAGACATAGGTCCATTGAAGCTGCAATTGCTTTTTAAAGGAAGGTCAGAATCTCTTCATTTCCTTGCTCCTATGAGGACATAGCTCTTATAATCATCCATCATTGAAAGGTTATACTTCTGAGAAGTTCTCGGGCAGCTGATACCCAGTGGTAAGAGTGGGGAACAGTAAAGTAAGAACAGCTTCTGAAGTAGAGTTTGCCTTACCACAAAAACTCCAACTGTCAAGGGAGCTGAAATGGAAAGACTGAAAACTGTGAGTTTTTAATCCCCCATCAATTCCCCACCAGGTCTTTAAAAATAATTTTTTTTTTTTTGAGACAGAGTCTCACTCTGTTGCCCGGGGTAGAGTGCTGTGGCGTCAGCCTAGCTCACAGCAACCTCAAACTCCTGGGCTCAAGCAATCCTCCTGCCTCAGCCTCCCAAGTAGCTGGGACTACAGGCATGTGCCACCACGCCTGGCTAACTTTTTTCTATTTTTAGTTGTTTGGCTAATTTCTTTCTATTTATAGTGGAGATGGGGTCTCACTCTTGCTCAGGCTGGTCTCAAACTCTTGACCTCGAGTGATCTACCAGCCTCGGCCTCCCAGAGTGCTAGGATTACAGGCGTGAGCCACCGCACCCGGCCTTATCAATATATTCTTAAAAAGCAACCATGATATGAAAGAGGTATAAAGAAAGAAAAAGACAGAAAAAACAAAAGGGTAAAGAGGAAGTTAGCAAAAAATGAGACAGGTGAGAACTTAAAGTCCCCAAGTAGACTAGATTAATACAGAAGAATGTGACAAATTATTCTAATCCTACTGGGCAGTGGTCCCCAACCTTTTTGGCACCAGGGACTGGTTTCATGGAAGATAATTTTTCCACAGACAAGGGTGGGGTCTTGGGGGAATGATTTTGGGATGATCCAAGTGCATCATATTTATTGTGCAGTCAAACTTTTCTGCTAATGTTTTTTTAAATTTTTTTAAATTTCAGCATATCATGGGGGTACAAATGTTTAGGTACAAATCTGTATTTGCAGCCGCCCCTTAGCACTAGCATCACTGCCTCAGCTCCACCTCAGATCATCAGGCGTTAGATTCTCATAAGGAGTATCCAACCTAGATCCCTCACATGCAAAGTCCACAGTAGGGTTCATGCTCCTATGAGAATCTAATGCCACCACTGATCTGACAGGAGGTAGAGCTTATGCGGTGATGGAAGCATGGGGAGTGGCTGTAAATACAGATGAAGCTTCACTTGCTCGCCTGCAGTTTACCGCCTACACCGCTCCCCATCCACCCACCCACCGGCCACTCACCTCTTGCTGTGCTGCCTCGTTCCTAACAGGCCACAGACCAGTGGCCCAGGGGTTGGGGACGACAGCTACTGGGTATTCTACAGTCCCATGGGCCGGTGAATCTTAAACATCCAGATATGCATGCACCATTTTATGATTAAGTTTTCACTGGTCTAGCATGAATTAATCAAAATAAAGATGATACAGCAAGTTTTTCATAATGCTAAATTTATTCAATTTAAAAGAATATCCTTAATTATGAGATTTCTAACTTCATACTTTCTTAGTATATCAATTTTCTCTGGAAGGAT